AAAAAAGACAATTTTACCAATTTTCATGGCTGGAAAACTTACATTGTTCATCTGAAAATTTCGAAAAATCAATAATTTCGACAAATTAATAATTTCAGAAAAATTTCAAAAATTTCCAAAAAAAACCCACATCATACACTGCAAATCCGATCGGCACATTGTCCAGACCGTCTTGTTTCAAATTACGTCTGAAATTTTTTGTAGTTTGTAGTCTTTTGTAGCCTTTGTACCTGTATTTTTGCATAACGGCAAAAATCACCGTGCACAGCTCATCGTCATCGTCGGGATCAGAGTCGGTCAACTGGACGCGGAATTGTGGATTGTTGGCGAAGGTGTCTGGAATTTTTGGGGATTTGATGATCTGGCGGGAATTCGAAAATTCAAAAATTCCAATATCGCTCCTTTTCGGTCAATAGCTCGCGCCTGTCTGACGGCGCCAGCCGCCTCCTTCTTATACGCCTTGCGCCTACCAAGTCTTTCAGTGCCTGGCTGACTGCACAGGTGATTCGCGCAGCGTCTATAAAAGGTGAAATATTGTTCGCGAAAAATCGCCATGGGTACATCGGAACATGCCTGCCGCAGGCCATTTACAGACCAATCGCGAAAGCGCCACCGCAAACGATCAATATTCCACCTATCGCGAGCAAATCTTCTACACATGCCGCGAGAGCAATAATTGGCATATATTTTTTGGATCTAGAAGCTAGCCGCTGCTCAAAAATAATTTATTTTACAGAAAAAAAACAATGAAAAACACAAAAAATTGATTAAAAGTCATTCCCTTCCGATTTAGTCGTACTTGCTGGAATTGCGCCGGAGTTTCTCGTTTTGTCCCTTTTTGCTTTAGTCGATGACGAACCGATTTGGGAGCAGATGATGACGTTGATAGGTTTTTCGAAGAAACTAAAATAATTTTTATAGATTTCAGTTCCCACTAGTTTTCTCACTATACCTCCGACACAAGATATTGGAGCTTTTTTAAATCCTCCACTTTGACAATTCCGAATTCCCGATCAACACCGTCTGAAATTTGAAGTTTTCTTTCGGATTTCTCCAATTCTACTCACCGTAGATTCCAGCTCTTCCTTCTTTTTCCTAAATTCTTTTTTTCTGGATTGTCCTCGACGTACCAGAACAATTCAGATTTTCTGGGTCCCTGTAAAGATTGGTTTAGAAATTCGGACTTTCTGAACGCTTTTTACCTTTTTAAAGCACAGTAGCAATGCTACCTCCAGAATAAACTAAAACTTCTACTTCTAGCTTCCGACATTTGTCTCCCGGCCATTTTTCTGCAAATAAAAAGCGAAATACTTGCTGATACAGTATTCTAGTATGTTCTTGTAGGTTAAATAAAGGTAATTTACGGACAAAAATTGCAAAGAAAACTGCAAAAAACGATGAAAAATACCCAATATGGGTGAAAGAACTTCGAAAAAGAAAAAACAAGAATTTTTTCGCGATTGGTCGATTGTGGACCTTTTATAGGGCCAGTTGGTAAGATACGCGTTTTGCTCGCGAATGGTCATTTGTAGAACCACTAGTTCGCGGCAGGTGAGTGATTGGGTCGTTTATAGCTCTTCATCTGTAATTGGTCAATCACGAATCACCTGTTATGGCTAGCGCGCTTGATCTTCAAGCTGACAGTTTTTGGTTCGGCCCCCCCCCCCGAGGAGCCAAATGTTTTTTTATTTTTTTCACCCTAAATATCTTACTAATATAGTTTCTGCATCCTCCGGCAGTCTGATTTCGAATCCATGCTCCGTCATGGTTATTCGCCGCCCAAACCATGCCGGCCGCCTTGACACCAGTCATCTGATAGACCTCATCCATAACATCTGGTCCCAGATTGCAAATTTCCATTTTCTCGAAATTCCTCATGTAGTCCTCGAATGACATCCAGAACTCTCCATCGTGATCGAATTTCAGTCCCATGTCTTGTTTCACCGAGTCCGGCACGTTTCGCCATTCTCTGTAATGGATTTGGGTTACTGTAGTGGCAGGGTTACTGTATACATATAATAGTTTTCATTCATTAGGCACTATCCAAAGTTATGTTAAAACAGAACAGTTTTTAATAAAAATTCCAAAAAAAAAATTGACGAAAAAAGTTTTTTTCAGAATTTTTCAGAAAATCCCTCATAAAAACCGTCCCAGTTGGTCAATTTGAAAAATTTTAGCCCATTCGAATTCTCAGAAAACAGTGGATCTAAAAATCTAAAAATGCAAAATCCCATACCTCGAATTATCAGACCACGCGCCATTCCACTCTTGCTCGTTGCCCCATGGATTGCGGATGCGGAGAATGCACGTCTGGCCGTTTGGACCATCAACAATACGGCATCCGGTGATTGAGTAGGCGTGTCCTTTGACAAGTCCATTCGACATTTTGGCTTCCCAAACATTTGGGTCCGCTTCAATAGAACAACCGAAGAGAGATCCCATTTCGAATCTGGAATTTTTGTTTTAATTTCAAGCCAAGTTTTCTCGGTTCCTGTGAAAGATATAAAAACATTGTCAACTGATAGATTGTTTATCATAATATCACCAACATTTTATCAGTTGACACATTTTCGATAACTTGCATAGGAGCCGAGATAATTGAGCTCAAACTTGACAGTGTGGAGGCCCTTCTAATTCTGTGTGTCCGATGTGTCTCGATGTCCACTACTCACCCTCTCATCATCATTTGCATCAAGTTACGTGGTGGATTCTTCAAATCAATGAATTCGGTAAGTCCACCAGTCATATCCTCAAGAGCTTCGGATGTGGTACCTCCCTTGAGAGCCTCATACGAGCCGAAGAGTCTGAAAAGGCGCTCTATTGATAAATGGCCATATCTCGGCTTATTTTTGAGCTAGAATTTTCAAATTTTTTGGTTTTTAGAGGTCACAAAATCTATTATTAAAAATTTCAACATTTCAAAACCTTACTTGGCATAGGCCTTTTCCAAAAGTGCACTCCAGAACTCGTTGTTGCTCGCCGAGTGCATGTAGAGGAGCTCGCCGTTGCTTGTTGGGAGACGATCGTCAATCACAACGTCCACCCATTTTCCGTATTGCCAGAATTGGAAGTGGAAGATTCCAGCGTAGTTCTCGGTGAATGACTGATCTGGTGGCACCACACGATAGAACAGCTCGTCCTTCAATGTGAGGTTAGCAGCGGCGGCCAGGAGCCAGCAATCTCCGAGTTCTCCCTGGAAAATTTGACTTTATTGAGTTTTAAATCCCTCGGTACAGCCCTTTTTTTTGAAGCTACTAGGAGCCGAGATACAGCGGATTCTAAAAAGGCGAGACACGTAGACAAGGAGAAACTCTTATTGTCTGCGTCTCTATCTCTTCGGCAAACGATTTTTCAAAAAAGCCGTCAACTACAAAAATGAAACTCTAGATTTTTTATATATCTTCTTAAACTTTCAAAAAAAAATGTGAAGGTATTGAGACACTTAAAATTAACATCGATTTTCAACTACCGTAACTACACTTTTCAACTTTGAGCCATTTTTTTTCGGTCCCTATGAGAAACATCAAAAAGTAGACCACTAATGAAATATTGCTGATATTATGATAAACATTTTATCAGTTGAAACTTTTTCGATATCTCTCATGGGAACCAAGACAATTGCGCTGCAAGCAATGGGGTTGCAAGCTCAGCTTGCACACTTGTAGCTCAATTGTCTCGGTTCCTGTGAAAGATATCAAAAAGTGGTCAACTGATAAAATATTTATCATATTATCACAAACATTTTATTAGTTGAAAACGTTTTGATATCGTCCATGGCAACCGAGATAATTGAGCTCGAACAACGTGGGGTTCTATTAGAGCCAATACGGAATTGCGCTATTGTGCAGTCCGATCTCCCTCTTAAAGCTGGCGACCTAGCGGCCGAGCGGACGGTTTGGTCCAGAACCGCGGCCCAGTTTCTGACTATCCCAACAAACCTGAATAACATCGAAACGAGAGTGTCCCTCGGTGATCAACTGCGGCTCGCGGACAATCTCTCCGGGACGCAGCCACTCGACACGCTTTGGTGGGCGTTTCGAGAAGAACAGCGAACTGTCGACGGGTTGGAATTGAGGATCCTCGAAGAGTTGCTTGTTCTGGAAAATAGGAAAAATTCCGATTCGAAGAGATTTTGAGCGAATTCCAGAACCTCAAAGTAGGCTTAATTAGGGGGACGTTAGGCTTGATGGATGCTGGAACTCACTGCCGAAAGAAGTGTTCCCGGTTAAGCCTTCGACAAAGGCATTTCAATACAGACTTTCAAACTGTGATCTAAATCACTTTTTTGTTTTGAATTCCAATGATTACTAACAACCTGTGCTCCCGCTTTCCCCGTTATTTTTATCCAATCCCTTGTTAAATTGTAATACCAATTTTTCCAATATTCCCGTGTCAGAGGTGTCTCACCCTTCGGTGAATAAATAAATAAATAAATAACCTTGACCTAATTTATCTTGGTTCTTGTGAAAGGTATCAAAAATTTGTCAACTAATAAATTGCTTATCATCATCTGGTAAGCGTTTTTTTTAGTTGAAACGTTTTGGTATCTTTCACAGCAATCGAGACAAATTAGCGCAAAGTTGACGGATCCTTTGATAGAGTCCCTATCTCCCACTTCAATAAATGAACCTGCAACTTTGACCTCATTTATCTTGGTTCCTGTAGAAGGTATCAAAAAGTTTTGAACTGATAAAATGTTTATCATAATATCAGTAATGTTTTATCAGTTAAGAAAATTGTGATATCTTTAACAGGAATCGAGACAAATTGGCTTAAAGTTAACTGTCTGTGAGGCACAAGAATTTGGAGGAATTGGAAGGATTTGTATTTTCAGATTTAACGATATTCCGAAATTCATTTAGTTGGAAATGGACCAGAATTAGCCCAAAAACAGGCCAAAACCAATTTAAAATAAGTTAAAAACCGCTAAACCTGATCCAGACCATAACTTATTTTGATCCGTCATTGGCACGTTTTTGGTCCGTTTCAAGCGGCTATATGGGCTCTTTGAGCTCAATTATCTCAGTTCCTGTAAGAGATATCAGAAATGTGTCAACTAATAAAATGTTCATCATAAAATCAGTAACATTTTATCAGTTGACAAAATTTTGATATCTCTTATAGGAACCGAGATAATTGAGCTTAATGTTTGATCGTCGTTGGCCCGTTTTTGGTCCCTTTCAAGCCATTTTAGTCTATTCATGGCAGGATTTTGGGATTTTTAGCTCCTAATGCCAAAAATATTATAGCCTACCTGCAGACACTGATCTCTCAACTCGTAGAAATCTTGTGGCTCCGTTGTCGGGCGTGGAGCAATTGGACTTGGTCCCTGTCCACCGCCTCCTCGATCCGGATCGGGTCCCGGGCGGACGAATGGATCGACATCACGTCGGAACTTGCCAGAAATGATATTGTCCAAAATGACTTTTCCAATATTTCCCAACGAGTTGTCTTTTCCACCCAATCCCATGATCACATTTCCAGCCACTGCTCCAATGATCCTTCCTGTCGATGGGTCGACACCCAAGAATCGATGAGCGGCCTCGCCGATCAGATTTCCAATAATGTTGACCATTCCACCGTTTAGACGATTCGGATTCACATTTCCACCACCGCCATTGTACTGGCCACCACCGCCACCGCCGATCAGAGAGCCGATGCCACCGAGGATGTCGCCGAAGCCACCTCCTGAAAATAATTTTTTTTCTAGGGATTCTAAATTTAGAGACTATTAGATCTAGATTTACAGATTTTCAATTTCTATGACCATTTTCAGAATTTTTGGTGGTGGCCTAGAAAACCACATTTCCTAAAAGTTCGGTCATTTCCGGAGAATTCTGGACCAGCTTTTAGATTTCAAAAACATTGATTTTGAAGCGAGTTATTATCAATACAGTTTAGGAGCGATAGAGCCTAGTTTTGGATTTCTAGGCCACCAAACTTGAAATGGGTATAAATCGGCTCAAAATCGACGTTTCCGAATTCAGAAAACTGATTCTGAACCCTCAACACATCATGTTTAAGACCATGTACACCATGACCTAGTTTTCCTCAAAATTTGGATTTCTATGACACCAATCGAAAATTGCAAATGGTTGGTTGGAAAGCACAGATTGTGGGAAACCTTAATCATTTTTTATATTTCAAAAGTATTGATTTTGAAGCGAGTTATTATCAATACAGTTTAGGAGCGATATGGCATAGTTTTGGATTTCTAGGCCACAAAACTTGAAATGGGTATAACTCGGCTCAAAATCGACGTTTCCGAATTCAGAAAACTGATTCTGAACCCTCAAAATGTGATGTTTAAGAAAATGTACATCATGGCCTAGTTTTCTCAAAATTTGTATTTCTAGGCCACCAAAGAACTCTAGCTCCGCCCACTTACCTCCTTGCTTCTGTCCACCGCCGCCGCCACCTCCCATACTATTGATGATTCCTCCAATATCGTTGAGGTTGAATCCACCTCCACCGCCTCCTTGATTGCCACCGCCGCCACCGTAGTTTCCGCCGCCGCCTCCTGAAAAAATAGTTCATAGTTTGGTTGGGCTACAGTAATCCTATGTAGAGGTCCTAGACATTCTAGATCCCTAAAATTCATGCAAAATAGTGTGTGGCATGCGAAAAGTCATGTTGCTGGAATTCTAGGCCACCAAAAAGTTCGGCCACCTCCTCCACCAGTGTTGCCGCCACCGCCGATCAGGGATCCAACCAGTGATCCGATCCCGCTGCCGCCACCGCTGTTGCCACCGCCTCCGCCTAGAATCACAAAAACCGAAAATCATGCAAAAAAAAAGAGTTTTCATGCCAAAGTTTAAATTTAAATTTTTAGAAACCTTTTTAGTTTGTTAATGGTAATGTTAATCTACTGTACCTGACTACAGTACGCCTGGGTATACTGTAGCTGACTAGGGTTCTCCAATTAGTTGTATTAGTAATTTGTATTAGTAAGTGTGCTCTAGTGCAAAGTGACAAACACTACAGTATACTAATTTATAAGTACCGTAGTTCTGTCCACCTCCGCCGCCGCCTCGTTGACCTCCGCCACCTAGAAGTCCACCGAGAATGTCGCCGAATCCTCCGCCACCTTGATTTCCACCGCCACCACCGTAATTATTTCCTCCGCCGCCGCCACCGTAATTCTGACCGCCTGGATTACGGTAGTTTTGTGAAAAGACTAAACTTAAAATGTGATTTAGAAAAAAAACTAAACAATGGCGCTCTACTGACCTCAAATTTTGATGAAAATCACAAAATTTTTATCGGATAACCCCTAGAAGGACTTGATGATTCTCGAAAAACGATAAAAAAGAGGAAAACCTTAGGGGGGATCGAACCCCTGATCTCGCGTCCACCAGCGCACATCACATCCCCGACACCACGCGGCCGTGTGGCTCTAGTGGTAAGGAAGGCGGTTAAGTGGTCGCCGATTTTGCAGATTTTCGGGGTTGGCCTATTCAGGAAGTTTCATTCAAAATTTGGAATTTCAACAAATTCTCGAAAATTTCAAAATTCCAAAAAAGTTTTTGTCCAGTAGAGTGCATTTGTGATATTGTTTTATTTTTGATTTTAACTATTCAGGAAACAGAGGATAACGGTTTTTACGTTGGACGGAGTTTAGAAGACTAAAAAACGAAAAAAAAGTGCAAGAGAGCGTAATTTCTGACTAAAATAATTTAGAAAATTGGAATATTTAAGCCAACAAAGGTGCGCCAAGCATAACACTTGAGAAAAAGCCTAAGCTGGGCAATCACAAGCAACAACAGGAAACCAAAAAACCAAAAAAACTGTACCAAATCCATTATTATCCTGGTCCCGTTTGCCTTTCCGATTGACGACATTATCAAAAATTCCACCAATCAAATCCTTCGCCATGTCCCTTTTTCTCTTTCCTTGATTATCGTTATTTGAATTGCCGCCAAATCCTCCGCCACTATTCGAACCTACACACAATGGGATTACTTTGCAACAAAAAGCAAAAGGCACAAAAAAGAAAAAAATTTCGGGGGTTTTTTAGAACATGGACAACATATATAGGTTGGTTTGGTGCAAAAAGTGAGTTAGACTATAAAAACTACAAAATAGCAAAAATTTAAAAAATTTAGTTTTCAATTTTTTACAACTTTCCACTGATTTTCATCCAGAACGACTATGATTTTTGAAATCAGCATAGTCAATTACCCCTAAATCAAAAGTTTTCGGAGAAATTAACTTTTTAGGCTCCGCCCCTTATTCCTAGGCTCCGCCCACTCACCTCCTCCGAATCCTCCGTTTCCACCGCCGAAACCGCCGCCGCCGCCGCCTCCGCCACCACCTCCGAAGAAGTTGCTGGCGAGGCCACCGAGGATGTCACCACCTGGTCCACCGACCTAAAAAATTTTGAAATTGAATTTTTGGGAAAATTTTTGAAAATTAAAAAAATTATTTGAAAATTATTTTTTTGAAAATTCTACATTTTCAGAAATTCAAGATTGCTAAAGAAATCAAAAATCCAAAATATCAGAAATTCAAAAAAAAAATTTTTCGCGATTTTTCAAGTTCCCGCCGAACCAAACCGAACCTTATCCCGAATCAAATTTCCAGCAATCGAACCAATCAGCCCATTGAATTCGTCGGGTTTCACTTCGATTTTTTGAATAATCTCCTCCTCGTCGTCAGCCATTTTTATACCGTCTCCACCAGAAAATCCGTCACTTGGCAATTGATTTTTCTGATTTTTCTGATATCGATTTTCCGAATTTTCCTCGTTTGATGCTCCACCAGTCGGACGATCTGATGGGTCTGAAAAAATTGGGATTCGTTGAAGATTTTCTTTTTACTCATTGAGAAGAGGGTCACAAAGTTTAATGGGTTAGTAGGTATACTGTAGTTAGTCGTTAAATTTGATTTTCTTTTAAATAGTTGCTGCAAAATTTGGGTTTCTAGGCCATCAACTTGAAATAGTTGTAACTAGCTTTAAAATTGACACTTTAAAAATCTAAAAACAGGTTTGGATTTGCCAAAACCTGGGCTTCTCAACCATATACAATATGACCTAGTTCTTGCAAAATTTGTGGTTTCTACGCCACCAACTTCAAATAGTTGTAATTCGATTCAAAAGTGTTATTTTTGAAATCTGAAAATTGGTCCAATTTGCCAAAATCTACGCTTTCAAACCATATGCAATATGGTCTAGTTTTTGGAAAATCTGGATTTCTAGGCCACCAATCGGAAACTGCAAATAGTTGGTTGGAAAGCACAGGTTGTGGAGAACCAAAATCTCTTAATAGATTTCAATAACATTGATTTTGAGCCTATTAATGATCATTTCAATTTTGGAACAATGTGGCCTAGTTTAGGATTTCTAGGCCACCAGACTAAAATCGAAATTTCAAAGTTTTGAAATTCTTTATTTTTCGGAACTTTTCGTATTTTTTGAAAATGAAAATTCTGATTCTTCAGAGCGATAGGTTTTTGAACATCCAAGGAAAGTCCTGAACCATAAAAATAAGGCATTCCTGGAAATTCAAAAAATTCCAAAAATTCTGAAAATCACGAATTTCCAAACCTAGAAAATTCAGAAATTCGGGAATTAGGAAAAATCAAACATCAAAAATCTGGAAAATCAGAAAATTCCGGAAAATCTGAAATTCAAAAACTATGAATTTCAAAAAATTTGGATTTCGAGTGTTTTTCTCTGGAAATTCTCAATCTTCAGAATTTTCAGTTTTTAAACTTTTCCGGGTTTTCAAAATTTTAGAAATTTCGAATATTTTCAAAATTTTGAATTTTTTTAAAATACTCAGAAAACTCTAAAACTCCAAACTTTGAAATATTCTAAAATTTTCAGCAAACAAAAAACTCCAATTATCCCCTCTTAATTACCTCTTCTTGGTGACATAGCAAGTAGGAAAGGCATCATTTTTCAAATAGATATTTTAGAATTCTTCAAACTTTACTCTACGAAAATAGGAATCTGCACACAGAAATTTATAGAATATCAGTAAATCGATAAGCTTGTATGTCGTCCTTCTTCTTCTCCTTTTTTTTGCTCTTTGAGAGCCAAAAAAAGAGAGAAAAGGGAGAAAAAAGGAGATGAAGAGATGGCGAAAAGATTAGGCGACAACTAGGAAATTCTGACTGCTTCTTTTTCGTTTAGTTTTTCTTCTCTATTTCTTATTTTTCGAATGCATACATTTTTGGAACTTTTGGAAAATTCCAAAAAATCTGAAAATCCCAATTCGAAAAAAGCTTATAGGAATTAAGAAAATCTCAAAACCCAAAAAGTTAAGTAATTTGAAAAATTCCTGATTCCGAACTTCAAGGAGCTCGTGTTCCCTTTTAAATTGAAGCCCCAAAGGTTTAAAAAAGTTTAGAAAATAAAAAAAAATCGAAAAATCCCTCTTTTCTTCAATTCAAATTGCGCTAATTGGACACTAATTCTAATTGAAATCTATCTCACAATTAAACCTTTAAACTTTCAACAAATTGTATTTTTTAATTTGAAAAATCGAAACTGACAGATTCAGTTTCAATTAAACTCAATCAATTTGAAACCGGAAATAAGCCTAATTGGACAAAAAAGAGAAAAGAGAATAACGGAAAACCAACTGTTTTTGTCAAAGTACATACATTTTTGGAATCTTTAAAAATTCTAAAACAGTCAGAAATTATCAGAAATTGGCTCCTAAAAGACACTACCAGCTGAAATAGACTTAACAATATACCAAACTGTGTCTATTTTAGCCGGAAAATCCTAAAAATGTTTGAAAGTCGAATATCGTATTTCCCCCAACAGAAGCTCACAAGAACCGTCAACTTTAAGCTCAACTGTCTTGGCTCCTGTGACAGTTATAAAAATTTTGTCAACTGATAAATGATTAGTGATGTTATGATAAACATTTTATTTGAGAGAGGTAAGAGTAGTGGCCAAGTTTTGGGTTTCTAAGCCACCAGAGGCGAAATGGAAATGAGCTATTTTCTTGGTTTTTATGGTTCCTAGAACATTAACAAGTTTGAAGGACTAGTTTTGGTTTTCTAGGCCACCATTAGAAAAAGTTAGGCCGTCAAGGAAATTTGAGGTTCTCGGCCACCCAAGGTAAAATGGTTGGATATTAGCTATTTTCGTCTAAAAAATAATTTTGAGATTTTTAGAGTTTCCAGAATCTTTTGAAGCCTAGAAAACTAGTTTTGGGATTCTAGGCCACCATTAGAAAAAGTTAGGCTATCAAGTTTTCCCCTCCTATTTTGACTCATCTCCAGTCGATTTCCTTAAACACCATAAAACCTCTAATAGAAGGGCTCCTTGACTTCTAAGTTTGAGCCATTTTTTCTTGGTTCCTGTTAAAGATATCAAAAAGTTGTCAACTAATAAATTGCTTATCATATTATCACCAACATTTTATCAGTTGAAGGCTTTTTGATATCTTTCACAGGTAATGAGGTAATTGAGCTCAAAGTTGACAGCTTGGGTGGGCTTCGATCTGACCAAATACAAAAAATTTAAATTAAAAAAAAAACTCCTGCTATATCTTGAAAAATATCTCAAACTCTAAAATATAAGCTCCGCCCACAAAACTCTGAAATGAGGCACTACGTTTTGTGTGACTCAAAACAAAACGAACAATGTATACATCTATTGAAAAATAGAAAACTAGAGATCAAGAGAATTAGAGAAGCAGAGAAGAAATAGAGAAAAACCATCTGGTTTCATAATATTTTCCAAATAGAACAACACCAAAAAATCACTTTTTTCATTGATGATTTTTGATATTTAAATTTGATTTTGACTGATAGATTTTTTAGGTCTCAAAAAGTCTCAAAAAACTGGGAATTTCGAAAAATCGCTACAAATCAAAAAGCCCCCAAAAACATTTTCAACTTTGAAAATCGCCACTTTGGCAGAAAAATAGATGGCTCAGAATCTCAAAATCTCAGAATCCTAAGATTTCGAAATCTCTCTCAAAAATCGATTCCTAAAAGCCAAAAGCAAGTAAAGTGAGAGCAAAAAAGAACCAACGAGAAGCCCCAGAGAGTTCAGAGATCCAAAAAGCTGCCAAGCCAAAAAAAAACTGACAGATGAGGACGGACATAAATCTTTCACTTTTTGAAAAGTGCTCTTGCCATTTTTCGTTTTCGTTTTCATGTCCTTCTAGCAAAGATCCGGCGGGAGATTCAACAATTTCAAATTCTCTAAAAACTCACCCATCAAACAACACTTGAATATGTCCATTTTCTAGGAATCGTGGGGGGAAAATGAGCCCCACACCACTTTTTAGGGGAGCAAAATGTGGAAAATAGAGAAATTGAGAGCCCCCGAAAGGGACCACGACGACCGGAAATAACGAGAGAGCAAAAAACGACAGAAAGAGAGAAAAGTTGCTCTTTTTTCCAGGGGACCTCTCTCTCTCTCTCTCTCCCGCAGGGTTCCGCGTCGATGATAATTGGTTTTGGAGCTCCCCAGCCAGAGATAGGGAGAGAGAGGGAGAGAGAGAGAGGATGAGCAATTTCTTTGTTTTTGTTGACCCCTGATAGATAGGACACTTGGTCCATGGGACGGAGGGAAGCGTGTCGGAGCGGAGGGGTGTAACAATTTTTTTGACTGACCCATAGGTTCGATTACCTGGGGACAAGCCTGACGAGGTCATGGCCTAGGGGTTAGCCAGCCTTGAAATACAGTACCTTTAAAGTCCCCCCTGGCTTCAAGCGTTCTTCACATAATTTTCCTGGGGGCAAACCTGTCAGAACCATGGCCTAGGGGTTAGCCTGTCGTAGAATACAGTACCTTTTAATTCTTCCCTGGATATATAATCGTCAGACCCATAAGATTTACAATCGTAGGTTACCCCATAGGACAAGTTATGTACTATTAAAATGTACCATGTGCCAAAATTTCTAGAACTAATACAGTAGTTTTTGAAAGTTACGAACTAATGAAGAAATATAAAACTTCAAGAGCTTTATTTTTTTTTGTTAATTGGCTGATTTTT